TTTTTTTTTTTTTGAGACAGAGTCTCACTGTATCACCCTTGGTAGAGTGCTGTGGCATCACAGCTCACAGCAGCCTCAAACTCTTGGGCTTAAGTGATTCTCTTACCTAAGCCTCCTAAGTAGCTGGGACCACAGGTGCCCACCACAACAACTGGTTTATTTTTTTATTGCACTTGTCCTTGTTGTTTAGCAGGTCCAGGCCAGGTTCAAACTGCCAGCCTCAGTGTATGTGGCCGGTGCTGTAACCACTGTGCTATGGCACCAAGCCTTTTTTTTTTTTTTTTTTTTTTTGCAGTTTTTGGGCAGGACTGGGTTTGAACCCACCACCTCACTATTTGGGGCCAGCACCCTACCCCTTGAGCCGTAGGTGCTGCCTCCCTTTAAAAGCGTTTTAAATGCTGTCATGTGGTTAAAAGATGTAAGCAGCAGGAAGTCATGTCTTATGTCTTTGTAAAGGACAGTATCTCCCAAGTAAGAGGGAAGACAGGGCTTCTCCTCGAACTCTCCATGTTTGGTGGTGTTGCCGTCACCTTGCATCTGTGTAGGTGGGCAGCACACGGCCTGACCTGGACCTGCGTTCCTTGGTGGGGGTGGTCTGTGCTGTGCCCCTTGTGACCTGTCCCCTCGCCCTGCAGGAGCTCAGCGAGATGCTGTACACGGACCGGCCTGACTGGCAGAGCGTGATGCAGTACGTGGCCCAGATCTACAAGTACTTTGAGACATAACCATGAAGGGCCTGCGCGCAGCTGCCCCGTCACCTGCTGGAATTTATCCTGGAAGCGCCTGGTCACCGCCCACCAACCCTGCTCTGCCCACCACCCAACCATCAGGCTCCAAAGGAGGTCTCGGCCCATGAAGAAAGCAGAGCTGGGCCCGTCAAGGACTGACCTCAGAGGCAGACGCATTTTGGAGTGTGACATGGGGACCCTTTGCCCTCCTGTAGATGCTTCTGAAGAGGGCGGCTTCTCTCCTTCCAGACCTTGGCCCCACAGCCAGGTTCATGTGCCAGTCACATTGGGTGACGTCATCTACACACAGCTTGATGACGAACAGCACCTCCAGATCAATCTCTTTTGCTAAACATGTCCTGGTTTTTGCCTTTATGAAAATTTTGCCCTTGCCAAATCCCCGCTTCCACCCCTGGCCAAAAAAAAAGCAAAACAAAACAAAGCATTTGCTCCATAGCCACCTGGAAACACTCGGCCCTGCCTTTTAGGGGACCGTGTTCAGGTTCTAGGTAACAGTTCTAACGTGATGACATCTTTGAGGGCTCACAGTCCTCATTTCATTCGGTCTCAAAAGTGAAGCAAATTCAAGTGTGGAGGAGCCGCCAGGCCCTGTGCTGGCTGCCGGGGTGTCCCCCGACCCCCGCCACATGCAGCCTCTGTGCCTGCCCTTCATCCTCCCAATCAGCACCCCCACTTACACCCACACACAGAACGTGACAGAAAGCCAGAGTGTGTGACTTGGCTCTGCACAGCTAGGCTGCAGAGTGTGACTGGGACAGTGGGCAGACACCAAATCTAAACAACATCTCTGTCTAGCCCGGCTGGTCTTTGGTGCTTCATTAGGCCTCTGCAAAAAAGAGCCCTTCTGGAGGACCGGGATGACCCATTTTTGTATTAACGGTGGCCCCAGTATCGTGCTGCTTACACTGAATGACAGCAAACTCCTCCCCAGAGGTGCCCCAGTCCCTTCAGAGTGCTCCGCCCAGCCCATGTAAACATTTGGCCCTTCTGGGCAGATAAATGTGCCTACTATGGTAGGTGAGGGTGCAGTTCCCACCCGTGGTGGAGGTAAATGTGGGATGCCCATCAGTGCATGTCTGCAGTGCCAAACGGCTACGCAGTGCCCTTGCAATAAGTCACTAATTACAGTTACTGCTGTTACTCAGAGTAAACCTCGGATTGCTGATCTGAGCCACCTGTTCAAAGCCAGGGCCTAATGGATATGTGTCTGGTCCCCATGCGGGAGGGGCGTGCACTCTGTCCTCACCCTCCAGGCCAGACCTGTGCAGAGGTGGCAGCTGGGCTCCACTGGTCCGTCCCTGCTCCTCCAGCTGCCCCAGCTTCCCTGGGACAAGAGAGTCTGACTCAGGCCCCTGTTAGTGGTGCCCATTTGGCTCAATATCAGGAGTCTCCAGGGGTGTTTTGGAAACACTCTGACCTGCCCTGTGAGCGGTTCAGAACATCTGGGAGGGCACCAGAGACACATTTGATATATTTTCAAAGTGCTGTGAGTGACTCTGACACACAGCTGTGTTGAGAACCACTACTGGGGGAGGGCCACCTTTTGGGAGCAGCTGGGCTGCAGCCCTGAGCTCCTTGGCCAGGGTCATTACATCGTGGACCCTTTTGCTTTTACGTGGAAGCTTCAGGCGCAGTCAGAGAAGCAATTTAACCTGCTCCTTCCTGATGAGCACACCTGAGTGAGAGTTCACACCCGAGGTGCCCTGTGCTGATGTGGTGGTGCATTTCCAGGGCACCTGCCTCTGCTTTGCCTGTGCTTAGAGTGTCTCCACGGCAGAGTTAAGCTGCGGGTGGTTGCCTTTAGGCTGGAGTTACTCAGAGCTTTGTGTGGGAGAGGCAGCTGAGGGCTTGGCATACCCAAAGAGGGTGTTTAGCATGATTGGTTCTCTGTTTTGAGTGATTATGTGTAAATGACATAGAGCCAGCTCTGGGCAAAGTAGTCTCTGTACCAGGTGGTTCCAGCCCCGCCCACATTGCCACTGACTTTGGCCAAACTCATCCATTCTTGTCTGTGTCCTGCTCCCTATAGACAAAAAAGAAGGAAAGAAATGTCAATGGCCATGTGCAATTTATTTTTATGACTCAAAGAGGTTCCCTGACTGCCGTTTTCTTTCCCAGTGGGCCCACATGTAGAGGAGGAATGGCCTATCCTATCCAGAGAGACACGTGGGGTCTGGGCCTGCTAAGGGCCTGGGGCCATGACTGATGGCCTCAGGGGTGCAGGGACAGGCCCCCCAGCACAGCCTGGCAGGCTCCCCCTAAGCCGGATGCTGTCAGCTAGCCTGTGGGGGTACAGGGCCTGGCGGAGGTGGTCCCACCTGGCTGGGCCAAGAGGAAGGGCTTGGGGTCTGACTTACTAGGAGAGCTCAGAGTACCAGGTGAATGTGGAACACAGGTAAACTCAGAAAGCGCAACAGCGCCTGTGTGTCCTTCACTTCTGCTCAGCAGCTTGTATGGTCCCCAGTGTTCTCCCCTGAGGCTCCCAGAGACCACGAGAGCCGTGCTTCTATTTCCCCTCAGCCAGTATCGGTCATTTAAAATTATTTGGTTGTTCCACAAATCCCTTTCTTAAAAATGTATGATTTTCATATGAGACAGCTGTAAAACACAAGACCCAGTAGAGAGAAATCCTCTGCACCGTGAGTTGTTTCATGGACTGAATTTCAGTGCCTGACGACAGCCCCAGGCCCACCTGCAGGAACAATGCTCTGAGGAACTTCTCTCATCTTAGTCCCTTCTCAATTCAAAAACACTGTTAGTCTTTGTTTTCCTTCTTCATTCAGTTGTTGTTTTATGGCTTTTATGGAGATCATCCCGAGTAGATAGCAGGGGTGTTAGACAGAAACACCCCTTCCCTGTGGAGGGGCAGGCAGGAAGGTGGACTCAGGGTCTGGACCCTGTGCCACATCCGGCTATGGTCCTTCCTTCCTATGCTCAAGTGCCATTTTGAGATGACCTGACACATATATAGAAGAGATGACTTTCCAGCCCTTTTAAAAAGTATTTTTAACATCTATAGTTGCCCAAATACATTGGGTATTTCACGCCTCTGACCCAGGTTAGAGTTTTGCTAAATCTGTGACGTGCTGAGTAGCTCACTGATTTTAACTACATTAGTTGAACGCAGTTTATACATCTATGGCCTCGTTTCTATAAAGAGCACATTAGATTGTACCAAGCACTGTCAGGATGAGACATGCTAACACAGATTTAACAGAAAAGTGTACGATGTATGACTGTAATATTTCTAATAAATATATTTTGTTTCTGATTATGATTTTTTTCCCATGTGAAATAGTATTTTCACAGAGTGCTGAGCTTCGTGGAGTCTTTTCAAACCAGCATCTTCAGGTGTGTTATTCCTTATTAGGCCTTAGTTGCCACTCTTGCAGGCAGTGCCGGAACCCTGTACAGAGGACTGGGGTCCCTCCTGGTTCCTTCTCCTTCCCCTCGTCTTACTGAGGCTGAGGGGGCTGTGAGGACCACCTCTCAGGACCCAGACAGAATGCTGCCAAGCTGTGCAGATGTGCACCCTCCATGTGCGAGATCGTGTGTGACTAATGCCAGCTGAGACCCTGGAGACCACACACAGGGGTGGCAAGCAGGAGGGAATTATGCCAAGATTGAGGAGGTAGGTGAAGATAAATTTAACTGACAGGGATGCCATCCTGTTCCTTTTTTTTTTCAAGTGACAGTCTCATTTTGTCGCCCTCAGTAGAGGGCCATGGCATCACAGCTCACAGCAACCTCCAGCTCTTGGGCTTAGGTGATTATCTTACCTCAGCCTCCTGAGTAGCTGGGACTACAGTTGCCCGCCATAGCACCTGGTTATTTTTTTGTTGCAGTTTGGCTGGGGCCAGGCTGGAACCTGCCACCCTTGGTGTGTGTGGTCGTTGCCCTACTCACTGAGCCACAGGCACTGCCTTTTTTTTTTTTTTTTTTTTGAGGGTATCTCTCTGTTGTCCTGGCTAGAATGCCATGGTATCATCATAGCTCACAGCAACTTCAAACTCCTGGGCTCAGGTGATCCTCTTGCCTCAGACTCCTGAGTAGCTGGGACTACCACAACATCCGGCTAGTTTTAGAAGTGGGGGTCGGTCTCACTTTTGCTCAGGCTAGTCTCCAACTCATGAGCTCAAGCGATCCAGCCCTCTCAGCCTCCTGTGCTAGGGTTATAGGCATGAGCCCCCACACCCAGCCATGTGTTCTGACACCAATATACTGTGTGTGTCAATTCAGTGGGCTTCACCCGGAGGCCACTGTAGGGAGGCCTCTCATTTTAGTTCTTAAGTAGTATCTTTCACAGGATCTAGGAATCAAATTGGTATAAGACAGACTCACAGGAGAAAAGCATACAACTTTTATATGTACATGGGGCCCCTTTCAAGAGAGTGAAGACCCAAAGAAATAGCCGAACACTGGGTGTTTAAATTCTCTGATCCAGGTTAGAGTTTTGCTAAATCTGTGACATGCTGAGTAGCTCACTGATTTTAACTACATTAGTTGAAGATAGCTGATATATCAGTGGCCTCATTTCTATAAAGAGCACATTAAATTGTAACAAGCACTGTCAGGACATGACATGCCAACACAGATACATTAACTGTTAACAGGAAGCTTTTACACTTTGGGGACACAGTGATAAATTTGTGAAGAAATCATAAAGGGGGCTTGGTGCCTGTAGCTCAGCAGCTGGGGCGCCAGCCATATCACAGGAGCTGGCAGGTTTGAATCCAGCCCGGGCCTGCCAAACAACAATGACAACTACAACCAAAAAATAGCTGGGTGTTGTGGTGGGCGCCTGTAGTCCCTGTTACTCTGGAGGCTGAGGCAAGAGAATTGCCTAACCCCAGGAGATGGAGGTTGCTGTGAGCTATGATGCTAAGGTACTTTACCGAGGGCAATAAAGTGAGACTCTGTCTCTTAAAAAAAAAAAAAAAAGAAAGAAATAATAAAGGGTCTGGGCTAGAAGAAGC